ACATACCGAAACCCAGTTGCTCCCCAAAACATTCCTTTCTTTTCAGAGCACACTTGGATTATTGCCTATGAATTGATCTTAAGCTTTCTTATTTTTGCCTTTTCAGATCATCCTCTCTCTCCTGAGTTGTAAGACTGAGGTTATTCCCACAGTTTTAATTCTCTAGAAGTAGGATTGTGCAGTAGGAATAACACTGGACTTGGAATCAAGGGACCTGATATCCAGTTCCAGTTCATCTGACACCTGAGCTTCCACTTCATCCTTTGGATAATAGAAATAAAATACCTTCTCTGTGTTTTAGGCTTCTTAGAGGATCAGATGAGCATTTTGTTTTAATGTATTTAACAGTACATGGCAAACAGTTAAGCATTGTTCAGTCAAATAAATGGTAATGTAATGATGATCATGTTCAAAATCAACAGAACAAGCTGTTGCTTCTGACTTTTCTGACTTACAGCAAGTCACCAGTCTGTAATTCCACCAAGTCTTTCTTTTTACCATAGCCACTTCCCACCCCACATCTGTGGTTGAAATAGTCCTTGAGATTATTCTTTTACTAATTCTCCATCTCTGCCATACTCACTGCCACCCCTTGTTTAGGACCTTATTGTCACACTTCTCCTTTGACTTACCTTAACTCTCTGAGCTAATTTTAGTTCCTGTTTGCCCTTCTCATCCCACATCTGTACACACTGCCACATAGTTTTCATTTTTATGTTTAATAGATTCACCATGGGATTGCTATATCATAATTGAGTAAGCATTTTCCTACTTTGAGGCATGAGGTTGTTTATATTTTTAGTTGTTACAAAGTGGTAGTAGATGTGTGTACTATATGTCAATTTGGATAGATATATAACATACGATTAATTATTTTGTTAGAATGAATTACTATAATTTGAGTTACTGGCATTGTGAATGATTCTTTTGAGACTTTTGCTTAATTTTCCTCATTGATTCTCAAAGGATGGTTCCAATTTCTGTGTCATGAACAACAAGAGCATATCATGACATATCATGAATGCAAGTATCATTCATAGTTTAGGGGGTCAAAATATGCCACTTGGACATAGTGATTATTTTGGGTTAAAGACACTTGAAGAACAGCAGATGCAGGAAAAGGGTTCTTTGACTTTCATTTTTCTCCCAAAAGCAGGAGAAAAAAATTCCTATGGGAAAGGTACCCTCCTATGCCAGGAAAAAGAAAGTCATTTTTAAAACCAACCGTACGGGCTCAAGGCTGAGAGAAATCTGTGCAATCAGACTTTGTTAAACTAACCCTTATGTCCGTTGTCACTTTTCTTCATTTAACTGCCCTGGCCCAAGCCCCTTTTTCTTGTCATGCTTTCCTAGTTTAATACCTTGTCCAACGTGGTATCTAAGCATTTATGATCCAGCTGCTTCTGGGGTGGTCTTCATTTCTCTTGTGAGGGCTCCCATAGACATGTAAAAGTACACTTTTCTCCTATTGACCTGTTTTATGCCAGTCCCTGCCAGACATCCTTAGGATAGGGAGAAGTTTTGCCTTCCCCTCAATAGTTTAACAAAACTTTAAAAATATATAATAAAAGGTGTGACTTATCCATTTTCATCCACATGGAATCCTGGCACTAAGAAGATGGGGTGTATTGCAGTCTGGGTAGCTATGTACTTTACGTTGACAGGTATAGATTAATACCTTGAAATAAAGTTATCACACACATCAAAGTAAAAAAAATTAAAACCAACCATCTTTAAGGTCAAGACAAAATTTAATTTCTAGTCACATCATATTGTCCTTTATGGGACTTTTCATCATGTAAATGTCACAGAAACCTGGGGCTTTCACATTAAAGATCTCAAGGGGCCTTCTTCATCTTCACTTTTCATTTCCTTTAAAAACAAGCCTTACATTTAAACAGGCACAAATTACTCAAGTTCTTCCATGAGTCCTTCCCTAATCCTCTTCCTTTATCAGTTTATAAGAAGGTTGGGTGGGGAAGGAATTTAGATTATTTATGAGATCTTTGGAATTTTTTGAATTAAGTATAAGTACAGATGAAATAACCAAATAGAAGGTTGCTGATTATTATTGAGAACCGTAAGTATATGTTTGAGGGTCAGAGTATGAAGCTATTTTTAACCTACCTCCCAAAGTTTCCATCTTAAGATGTCTTTAAAGAGAAACTTTCTGGCTAGGGAGGTAGTAGAAATTTGTCTGTAGTAGAAAATTGTCCTAGTATGGGCAAGGCCCTGGATCCAGTCTTAAGAACTGAGAGAGAGAGAGAAAGAAAGAGAGACACTTTCTGGTTCTTTTATCTAAAGAATACTAATCTTTACTATCCTACCTAGGATTAATATTCTGTTCTGTGAAACTTAAGTATTCAGTAAGTCAGTTTGTGTTTATACGTATACCCAGTACTGTTTATGGATGCATTGAAACCAAGAATTACTATGGGTTGCCATTTTAGCACATCTTTTATTCTTAAAACTTAAGTGGAAAAAAAAAATCCTCTCTTCTTCCAGATTGACTGCTGTATTAGTTTTGTCTTTTTTTTTTTCCCCCCGCATTTAACATGTGATAGAGCAAATAGAATTATGGCTGACTCTAGCAACTCTGGTTATTTCAGAGTAGTTCCCATCAGCATTTCTTTTTCCTTTTTTTTAATATTTATTTTTTAGTTGTAGTTGGACACAATACCTTTATTTTATTTACTTTTATGTGGTGCTGAGGACTGAACCCAGGGCCTTGCACATGCTAGGCAAGCGTTCCACTGCTGAGCCACAACCCCAGGCCCCCCCCCCATCAGCATTTCTTACTTTATTTTTTAAATTTATTCTAATTAGCTATATATGACAGGAGAATGCAATTCAATTCATATTACATAAAATAGAGCACAATTTTTCATGTCTCTGGTTGAACACAAAGTAAAATCATACCATTCGTGTTTTCATACATGTATTTAGGTAATGATGTCTGTCTCATTCCACTGTCTTTCCTACTCCCATGCCCCCTCCATTGCCCTCCCTCCCCTTTGCCCTATCTAAAGTTCATCTATTCCTCCCATGCTCTGCACAACCCGCCCCCCATCCCCATTATGAATCAGCCTCCTTATATCAGAGAAGATATTTGGCATTTGGTTTTTTGGGATTGGCTTACTTCACTTAGCATTATATTCTCTAACTCCATCTATTTACTGCAAATGCCATGATTTTATTCTCTTTTAATGCCGAGTAATATTCCATTATTATATATATATATACCACATTTTCTTTATACATTCATCTACTGAAGGGTATCTAGGTTGGATCCACAATGCCATTCCTCATCGAAATAGAAAAAGCAGTCATGAAATTCATCTGGAAAAATAAGAGACCCAGAATACCCAAAGCTATCCTTAGCAAGAAGATTGAAGCAGGTGGCATCACTATACCAGACCTTAAACTATACTACAGAGCTATAGTAACAAAAAACAGCATAATATTGGCACCAAAATATACTTGTAGACCAACAGTACAGAATAGAGGACAAAGAGACATAAATAATCATGTTAAACAAAGGTGCCAAAAACATATATTGGAGAAAAGATAGCCTCTTCAACAAATGGTGCTGAGAAAACTGGAAATCCATATGCAACAACTCAAAGTGGTCAAGATCTGGGAATTAAACCAGAGACCCTGCACCTAATAGAAGAAAAAGTAGGCTCCTCTAATGCAAGAATTAAAATCAAGAATAAATAAATGAGATGGATTCACACTAAAAAGCTTCTCAGCAAAAGAAACAATCAGTAAGGTGACTAGAGAGCCTACATTTTGGGAGCAAATTTTTACCACGCGCACATCAGATAGAGCATTAATCTCCAGGATATATAAAGAACTCAAAAATCTTAACACCAAGAAAAAAAATCAAATAATTCAGCCAATAAATGGGCCAAGGAACTGAACAGACACGTCTCAGAAGAAGAAATACAATTGATCAACAAATATATGAAAAAATGTTCAACATCTCTAGCAATTAGAGGAATGCAAATCAAACTACTCTAAGATTTCAACTCACTCCAGTCAGAATGGCAGTTATTAAGACTACAAACATAAGTATTGGTGAGGATGTGGGGAAAAGGGCCCGCTCTTACATTGCTGGTGGGACTGCAAATTGGTGCAACCAATCTGGAAAGCAATATGGAGATTCCTTGGAAAACTGGGAATGGAACCACCATTTGACCCAGCTATCCCACACCTCGGTTTATACCCACAGGACTTAAAAACAGCATTTTATAGGGACACAGCCACATTAATGTTTATAGCAGCACAGTTTAGATTAGTTAACTTGTGTATCCAACCATTTCTTACTTTTTTACATAATTCTCAAATTACAAAACAATTTTTCTTTCTGCATTGGTGGAGCTTGAACCCTTGTGTATACTAGGCAAGTGTTCCACCACTGAGTCACTTCCGAGCTGTAGTCGCAATTTTTTCTAAAAATTGTCATCTTCTAAATTATAAAACAGTTGGAAAGCCTTTTGTTTGAATACCAAAGTTTCATATTTGACATGGAGAATGATAAATATTTACCATATTAAAACATTCAAAATTTAATGTGAAAGAAATAATTTAAGAATTTTATGATCCTTTGAGGTCAAGTATATATGTATGTAGTGATAGATGAACTGTAAGTACAGTGTAATTTTGTTATTGTTGTTGTTGTTGTTACTAGGGATTGAACTCAGGAGCACTCAACCACTGTGCCCATCCTCAGCCCTATTTTGTATTTTATTTAGAGACAGGGTCTCTTGCTGAGTTGCTTAGCACCTCCCCTGATGCTGAGGCTGGCTTTGAACTCTTATCCTTCTGTCTCAGCCTCCCAAGCAGCTGGGATTTTAGGCATGAACCATTGCACCTGTCAGTATGATATAATTTACATAGTAAGATTTGCCAGCACAGAAACGTCATTAGCTATTTTTTCTGCCTGTGATATGAAATGACTTTATGGTTATCTGTTGCTCTATTCATTTCTGCTCTAGGTCAACGTGTCAAACCTTTTACCCCAGAGAAAGCAAAGGAAATTATAATGTCTCTACAACAGCCTGCAATCTTCTGTAACATGGTTTTTGATTGGCCAGCACGACACTGGACTGCTAAACACCTTTCTGAGGTCCTTCACGGCAAGCAGATACGATTCAGAATGGGAATGAAAAACACAGACACAGGTAAACCCGGTAATCATCATAGTGATAATGCCTCTTCAGTAGCTCTTGTACACCCTCAGCATTGGTTTCCTTATCTTTAGAGAATCCTTTATTTCTGATCTGCTTTTTGACCATTTAGAGTAAAGATAGGAAAATTTTATTGGAATACTTTGACTTGAGGCAGATTTTTTTGTGTTTTTTTTTTTTTAGACTAAGCAATATAGTTTAAACTCCCATACAAAATGATAATGTTTGTTCACGTATTGTAATGTAAGTTGCTAGGCATTCTTGTGATTCCTTGAATGCAGTAGATATTTAATAATTATTTGTTACTATGCTATTATTTATCTTCCCATGTAACTGAGAAAGAGCAACACTGCAAAATAATTCAATAGCATGATGTAATAATACAATACCAGTGCTACAGTGTAATAATCAATAATACAATCTAATAGTCCCTTCTACTTTTGACTCACAGAGAACATGTCCTTCAGGCTATAGTGCTTAGTCTTGCTCCTAATTTTATGTACTGCTTTATCAGCTGCCTGGCCTGTATTGCACTACACAAAAATGAAAAACATGCAGAGTTGTTTCTGTGTGTATGTATGTGGGCTGGGGATTGAACTCCAGGCCTTATGCATGCTAGGCAAACGCTCTGCCACTGAGCTATACCTCCATGCTCACTCCATTTTTGAGGTGAAGTCTGTTGCTCAGGCTGGTCTTGAACTCCTCAGCTCAAGTATCCTCCCGCCTCAGCCTTGTGCATAGCTGGGACTTTAGTTGAGCATCACTATGCAAGCTAGTTTTTTATTCTCTTGAGCAGTTTGATTTTGTCTGCTCCCATTACTTGCCTGAAGACTTCTAACATTCCTTTTCCCCTCTTTCATCAGGTTAAGCAGCTACTTTTAACTGTGAAATTAAATTTAGTATGAAGGAACAGTGCTATTTCTACTCTAAAGGAATCCATAACCATTGTCTGGTGTTTTAATTTGTATTTCAAGTTTTGTAGTCAATTTGGGGGTTTTTTGTTTTTTGTTTTTTGGGTTTTTTTTTTCTTTTGGGATCTAATCGTGGACCTCACATGATTCTCCACTGAGCCATACCCCCACCATAGAAATTCAGTTTTTAAGTATT